TGCATCTAAGTGGCTCGCTATGCTAGTTTAGCTCCCGCGAGTGCCAGAGGGCTTAAGCGAAACTGAGGTCTAACACGTTGCCCCTTTCATGTGTGGGACAGTCTATGTCAGAGATGAGTACTAGACCCTGGAGGTCCAGCCAGTTAATGAACGGCTCTGCAGAAGGTGTGGGGCTGCGATGTAGCGAGGGCTGCCACCTGTTGTGTAGTAGGTTGAGATCGCCTGCGAGTATCGTTGCTTGAGGGAAATATGCCTCTGGCAGGGTTGCAAGAGCTTTCGCGGCTTCGCCTGCTCTGATGGAGCCTGCTGGGGCATTATAGATGTTAACTATCAGAGCGGACTTTCCTGTGGGCGAAAAAATCTGTAGGAATAGGAGATCCGAGGCCTCTTTGGTGTCAGTTGTGAAGGGGCGCAGCTGGGAGGTCCAAATGCCCTTCTTCTTTCGAACATAGGTGAGAACTCGTGGTCGGCCACTTATCGCCCAACTGTCAGTTGGGGAGAAGCATTCATATAATGGGTGTTTTTTTGTGATCTGTTGGCTAAGATCTTTGAATATATATGGTTCTTGGATTAGGATAATATCAATGTCGCTTGTGTATGCCAATGTGAGAGCTATTTCATGTGCATCTGGCGCGTGCCCTACATTTAACTGTAGGATTTTAAGAGGCGCCTTTTGAGTTGGATAGTGATAGATCATAGTTCCCGTTCGAGAAGAGAGGCAAACCAATTTTGTGATTGAGGGGTAGTAAAGCGGACTGCGCGAGCTGTAATTGGGGGATCTTCTGTTGGGGCGCGAGGTGGAGGGGTTACTGAACGGAAAGGAGAGATAATCTCATGGGTTGGAGGCTGAGTTGGCATCTCGTCTAGTACCATAGATATTTCTTATGTGCCAATGGAGAGCTGAGTGCTACATCCTCCTTCAGTTCGAGCTTTTGCGAGGTTAATAGCATAGGATTTCTGGATCTCTGCTTGTTGAGCTTTAGTATGTTTAGAGTTGCCTTTAGGGCGCAGGAGGCA